CCACTTTGGCCAGGCCGAGACTCACTTCCTTTCCCTGAAGAAACCCAGTGCACTCCTTACTGCCAAGCGTCAGAAGGCATCTGGAACACCAGAGAGCACCAACTCTTCGTGTCCAAGAAGCTCCTCTGGAGTAAAGGAGGAGTTATCCCTGGCTGGGTAGGAGAGGTCATGGTCAGTCAACAAAGCTCAGATTTTTGGGAGGGCAGCTGAGCTGTGGGTTACATGGTGGTGCGTCTATGTGATAGGGTTGGGGAAAAGGCCAAGCTGGGAGAGAGAAGCCAGGGCTTTTTCCAGCTCAGTCACAGTTGTGATTGATGATGCTAACGATGACAATAGTGATGATGACAGTAACGATGGTGCTGGGGGTGATGACGACAGCTATCACTGATTGAACACTGTGTGCCAAGTGCTGTGCCAACCACTTTATGGGTGTGCTGTCATCCACTCCCCTAGCTCACGGTCTGTCCCATTCCACAGGTGAGGAGAATGAGGCTAAGTTAACAATCCAAAGGCCCATGGCTAGGAAAGCGATGGAACCAAGATTTAACCTGGGTTCATTTCAACTGGGGTGTCACTTTCTCATCTGCAAAAAGACATGGGCTTAACGTCAAATAATCTCCCTCTGAGGTCCTTTGTAGCCTTAAAATCTGGATTGGTCTCTGTCCTCCTCACTAAAACGAAAGAAAAGTCTGAGATTAGGTGGAGAAGGAAGGGTGTGTCCCAAGTGAACTTTTCACTCAGATGAGGGGAAATTCTGCGGCTCCTCCCACTCTGAGCAGTATGCTACCCAGGCCGGGAAACGTCTGAACAGCAACAGAAGCCGCTGGAGAATTCCAGGAGAGCCAGGTCATGCAACAAAAGGAGTGTAGCACAGATGACTGCAATTCTATATTTGCCTTTTTCCCCTTAACTGGAGGCCACTCGATTTTTCCAGACAATATTTGGAAGGCTAAAATCCGAGTCCCTGAAATAACAGCCAAAAAAATATTTTGAGGTTTTACAGATTCGTTCACCTGGTAAAGAGAAAGCGGAAAGCAGTGAAGTAATGTTTTATTTGTCTTCTTTATGGACTTCTTCAAGGTTCAAAGTCGCCGCTTTTAAATGTTCGAGAGTAAAAACAGTATTGACATTGGACGGCTTTATTCTTTTTTATATTCTCTTTGGACAAGCTGCATGGACCGGGTCAGCCCTCCTACATGTGAGCCTGGCTCTGTGGCTCAGTTTTTCTTACAGCAACATGGAAATTAAAGATGGCCTCTCACTGTTTCAGTGGAAGGATGAATTAATTGAACTTCGAAAACTACCAGGAAGCAAAAGCATTGAGCTGAAAACGTTTGCGGTTTTGCCAGGGGCTCCACAGCCATCTGTGCTTGCACGACCCACGTTAAGATGTGTGCACCTAGCCACCCACACCTTCCTGCCTGGGCTGAGAGGTGACACATGGGAAGAACGCCTCATGAAAGCTGCCCTGGAGGTGCCTGAACCCTCCGTCACCTGTGGCTCTTTGATGTACAGAGCCCTGGCTTCCTGTTTGTGTCCCTGTGCTGGGAAGGAGATCCCCACAGGGTTCATGCCTTAGGGGGGAGGCCTCTCAGGTCTCCGTCTTCAGATGCATTGCCCTTTGTGGCTCTGCCGTCCTCCATCTTGGGGCGGGCGGTTGTAATGGACGTAATGTTTGTGCCTCCCCCCACTTGTATGTTGAAATCCTAATCCCCAAGGTTAGGGGTCCTCAAACTTTTTAAACAGGGGGCCAGTTCACTGTCCCTCAGACCGTTGGAGGACCGGACTATAGTTTTAAAAAAAAAACTATGAACAAATTCCTATGCACACTGCACGTATCTTATTTTGAAGTAAAAAATCCAATGGGCAAAAACACCCGCATGTGGCCCGCGGGTCGTACTTTGAGGACGCCTGCCCAAGGTGATAGTATTAAAGGTGGGACTTTGGGTGATTAGGTCACGAGAGTGGAGCCCTCATGAATGGCATTAATGCCTTTATAAAAGGGACTCCAGGAGGCTCCCTCACCCACTCCTGCCATGGATCCAAGGAGAAGTGGGCAGTCTGCACCCCAGAGAGGGCCCTTGCCAGAACCCGGCCGTGCTGCCACCCTGATCTCAGGCTTCCAGCCTCCAGAATCGTGAGAAACAAATTCGTGTAGTTGCTAAAGCACCCAGGCTATGGCATTTTACTACAGTGGCTGGAACTGATTAAGACAGGGGTGTAGCTGAAGGGGCTTCTGGCAGTTCTTGGGGTAGGTGGAGGGACTTTTTAATGACTTCCTGTGACTTCGTCTGTCAAATGACAGTTGACATCAAGGTGAACATTCTGCTGATAGCAGGTGGAGATGGCTGGGCCTCACACATTATTGCTCAAAGAAGAGATCAAAACCGAAGTGGGCTCCATTTAGCTCCTACCAGACCTGTGCTCCAAGGCCTTATCACACGAGCCTGAGGAGAGAAGGCCTCAGCTTTTAACCTTAAACTCCCCTCCTGAAAAATGATCTGTGCTAGTTTGCCTCAGTATCCCCATTGGAAAGATGGACTCCATCAAACAGCCAGCAGTGCATGTACGGATTACTAGGAAATTACTAGCAATGTCTGGATTACTAGGGTGTTACTAGCAGTGCATGTGTTACTAGAGGTGCCAAAGTGGTCCACAAGTGGGCCCACCGAGGGGGTTGAAGATGGATGAGTGGAAGGGTTGAATAGGAACTTTCGGGTCATGCACACATATTTTTAAAAAATTGTATCGAGGAGTACGTGTACCAAAGCCTCCTGGGTCATACATAGGAGACACAGACAAGAATGTTCATAGCAGGCCTATTTGACATTAAAAAAAAAAACAAAAACCTGGAAATGAGGCACCTGTCCACTGGTAGGAAAACACATAGACAAAGTGTGACATATTTCACACACCATCATGTTACTATACAGCACTGAAAATGCACAAACCACAACTATTTGAAACAGCATGGGTGGACTGAGAAACACCGTGTTGAGTAGAACAACAGCTATTCAAAAACACCCCATGCGGTATGGCACCCTTTGTATAAAAGCTTAAATAAGCAAAGCTGGTGTAGGCACACATATGTGTGGGATAAAACTATTTTTTAAAAAAAGCAGGAGAATGACAAACACAAAAATTCAAACAGGAGCTTCCTCCGGGGAGTCAAGCAGAAGAATGAGGTCAGGGAGGACGGATGGGGGGTTGGGGTGGGGAAGGAAGGCTCTTGGCGATGTTCTAGTTCTTGCCCTGGGGAGTGGTTTGTGGGCGTGAATATCATGACTGAGATAGAGGTTACATATATTTTTTTGTAAGGATGAGATATTATGTTAAGATAATCAGATTAAAAATTAAAAATATATCTGTAGTCATGATGGCTTATCTGGGGTGAGAAAATTCAAATTTCAGAGTTCAAAAGGAAATTATCTAATCTAGACCCTGAATTTTATAGATGCTGAGATGACCCTTTCCAAATTGCAAAGGGACTTGGGCACATTTGTATGACTCGGTAGTGACTGAGCAGAGATCAGAGCTCTTGTGCCATAACTCTTGGCACACAATTGCTCCTTCCACTCACTCAACCCCCGAAGTTCTTTTTTCTTTTTCCTTTTTCTTTTTCGTTTTTGCACTGGTAAGTAAAAGCAACACTTAGCTGGCTCTCACAATGAATGGAGCAAATACCTCCGATGAAGAGAGGGGATCATACTCCTGAGGAAGCAAAGTCAGGTTTCTCTCTAGCTGTGCTACCCTAGAAAGGAGTGGCTGGTTTTGACCAAATTGTACCTGTTTGAAAGCATTAAGAACTCTACCTTAACTCTGATTCGTGGCTCTTTTGTTTGCTACCTTAAAATATTAATAAAATGGCAGCTTGTAAATTTACCGATGAGCATATTTTCTGTAAGATTTTAATAACATTTTGAATGTGGATGGGATGTAGATTTGGCTCCATGGGAAGAAAAACAATGTGTCTTTTCAAATGAAGTGTCCATTTTCAACAATTTAAATAAATTGCTGACACTGGGAGAAAGAACTATGATGTATCACATCTATGTATTTTACACTTAAAATCAAATATCTGTCTCCTTCCCCCCCAAAAAAGAATGAAAGAGAACAATGCAATGAATCTAGGCATCTACCAGTAATGCCTTGGAGTGTAAAAGGAGAATCTGACGTTCTCGCGGAGGGTCTCCATTCCTATACCTATACCTTTCTCTACTAAGACTCTTACCATGCTGAGTGTGTTCCTACTGTTAAAGACGGTGCATTTTATTTCTACATCACTTAATGCTTTCCACTTACTTCCACAGTAACGATTTTTCCAATACTGGAGGGAAAACTTTCTGTGTTGGACTTATTGAGAAACTATGTATTTGTACAATATCCTTTATGAATGATTTAAGGGATTTTCATGGCCTAGTAGTCATTAGAGCTATTCGCCAACTATTTCCAGTTTTCTTCCTGTGTACCTGGCAAGGCTGCACCTCTTCCCCTCCTTGAAGTTAGGTGGAGCTACGTGACTTGCTTTGGCCATTGAAGTATGAACAGAAGTGGGGTTATGCAACATGCAGGATGAAACTTTAAGACTCAGTGTAAGATTTGCCCTGTTCCTCTTTTCCAGCGTTGGCAACTGCAGAAACATGGAGATGGAGCCTCCCTCTGAACTCCCTGAGTGAGGACAGCCTGGAGCACAGTCCCCCGGCCAACTGGTGATGGGCATGTCATGTGAGTAAGAAGTAAACTTTGGTTGTTTTAAGCCCCTGAGATTTGGGGGCTAGCCCATACTTCCTGATTCATTGATTGTATACCATTTTTGTCCAACTCACTAACTTTAGATCATAAGATGTGACTCTACTATCTATCTAGGCTTCCTAGAAAATATTCATTTGGATACTGTAGACTTCAATCCATAAACTTCTCCAAAAGGAACATTAGAGACCCTCACTGTGTAACCAAGGATGAGTCTAAAATGGGAATAGAAGAAGAGGCAGCAACCAAGAGAAATTGGAATCCACATTTATTGATGGGAGATATATACATAAAAGTTAAAACACTTAGTGAAATATTGGATTCACAGGTTATTTCCAGTATATAAAGAATATCCAGTTATTTTACACATGAAATGTTACAGTAATCAGTCCACATTGTAAGAAAGCTAAAGGTGAAAACAAAAGACCTCAACTACCCAAAATGTGCTTTGCCAACAAGGCATCTTCTAGTACCATATATAAGAAACAATCAAAAAATTTAGTTGAAGCTTTTATCTTTCTGCATTCATTAGTCTTTAAACACTATGTGCTATAGATGCTCTATGCTACATGACTTCAGACCAAGGGGGATTGTGAATGTTAGGAAAACATTTATTCTTTCATTCTGGACATACAAGAATCTTCAAAGAGAATCCTGTATGCAGTCTGGTTTTCTTTCAGTAAATTTTCCATCCTAAATTTGACAGGTATTGAAGAAGCCACATTTTCAAGGAAAAATTTGCTAGTCCACTGTATCCCCTCACTCCACTTATATGAAGAAGCCACTGCAAATTAATGTGCTTCATGCCCTCAGGTAATATCTTAGGCTTCACTCCTCTTGGGATAAGAGAGGGGCACTCAAAGTTCCCTAAAGCACATGGCTACTTCTTCTCTGTCCTTGGGGAGGAGAAAGGGGTTACAGGAACTATAGACCTCACAGCATTGTATTTAGTGATAACTACACACAACATGTGTTTTAGGAGGCAGGTGTATATTTATGTTAGTTAATCTCATCTTCATTCAAAACATGCACACAGAGCATATTAGGTAGAGGAGGTTATACTCCCTCATATATGTGGGATCTGTGCTTCATCAGTTGCCCCCCTACGACCCCCAAAGCTGCACACTGGCTATTCCTGTGCTTCTAGTGTTCTACCTTCCTACAGACAACTGTGCAGTTTACAGCCTGAACTGTGCTTTTGTGGGATTTCACCTGCATGGCAGTTAGTCAGCAAATGTTTTTCCCATACCCTGACTCAAGAAGCCAAGGGGGACAAGGCTCTTCAAATCCTTTAAGTCATGAGCATCATGATGAGTATTTGGCAACCAGAGAGGCTGACCCTTCCCTAAGGACACGATGCTAACATGCACAGGGGCAGACTAACCTTTTGTCTCTTTGAGCCCAATCCACCAAGCGGAGGAGGACTGTAGGTAAATGTCCTCATTCTAAACCTACCTAAGCCTAGATAATCAAAAGTTCCACAGTTGCATTCACCGCGTATTATACAGACGTGGGATGACCTTTCACTAAGAACCAGGACACACACCCAGCCCATCCCTGCTCTGAATTGTATATTTACAAAGGTGCTGGACACACACAGACTTTCAAACAATCATCGGTACAAAGGATTCATAGATAAGTTCCTCACTCATATATGCCCCCCCCAAACCACATTGACAAAAAGGAAAAATGATTCACAGCTAGATATCTAAGAGGGGAAAAGAAGGACTTGCAAAACACCAATCAATATGTCTACTGCATTTAGGTGAATAGCCAAAAATAAACATATAAATTAAATTTCAATACATCTATACACCATTTCACTGAAATTACACCTAGATATCTACATTATAGCTACACAAAGTGCATAGGCACTGTTCTTCATGCGTGAACCAAGTGTCAGTGTGTACACACAAGAGCTTCATGCTTTGACAGCTAGCTGTACTTGAAAACAGATACAATCATTGCCAGTTGAGGGCACATCTCATTTGTTTGCTTAATGAAGGGCAGGTTCAAATACATACAAGTACATTTTTTATGTAACTGACTATTTTTTAAAACATGGTAAAAATACCAGCCCTACCACCATATCAGAAAGTGTGTTTGGTGGAAGGAAGACACCTTGTCTTTCCAGTGGCTATTGTTTTAGTTTTGGGGGAAGTTACATAGTTTGTTATTATTCACCTGAGGACAGAATCTACCTGGGCTGCTTCTAAATAATTTCAATGTGATTCTAAGCCCCCACTGCCAGCCCCGTGTGACACAGTATTGCTTCATAGCTGGTACTGAAAAGGATTTTTTTTTAAACTTTGTTTAAAAAATATGTGCTCAATTCATGTAACCATGTGACATTTACTACCCATTTGCTTGGCAAGAATTAACTGCAACAAATCTGTCCTGATTTCCTCTGTAGCACTCATCCTCAGTCTCTGCTACTCAAAGTTTTCCTGAGCCGATTTTCACATAAACATTTAAAAAGGCATGAAACATTCTAATATAGAAATGATCCCACTATTACTACCTTGTCTTTGATAATCTTAGAGAAAAGCAAAACTAGAAGGCTCAGTGGAAAAACAAGAGCTGGTCCCAAAAATATGAAATCAGCACCATTCTTTGAGTTAAAAAGATTAATCATTTAGACATATATCTTAACCAGCTAAGGGATTTAAATAATTCCTTGTTCTTAATGGTCATTTTGTTCATTGCATCACTAAAGACTGGGTTCTTCAATTTTTCAAATGGGATTATATAGTCAGGAAATAATTGATAGCTCTAAATTGCTGTAGAAACTTCTTGTGCTCTAATTAGTTATAATTCTACATGTGTGGTTATATAGAAAATACCGTAAGAAAATATCTGTCTGTAAAATTACAGATACTAAATGGATTAATTCAGTCTACACTGAGTTCTTTATGATTTCTGAAGAATAGATACAAACCTATAACATTATTAAAGGCTAAATTAATATTAAACATATAATATCTAGGATTATAAATACATTTTTCTCATGCTCTTTATAAATAATAGCAAAGAAGGTTGGGGATTTATTTAAAAAAGAATGTAAGATTGGGCTGGAGGAATTTGTGGATTTGGGGTGCAATACTGATCAGAGGGCAATATATTATCCCTGGTAACCGAGATTCTTACCAGGAAGCCAAAATATATCTGCCGGCAACAAGATCAAATTAGATTCACAGTTTGCCAGCTCTCTCCTCAAGCTGTAGAAAACAAATAGAAAAACAATATACAAAAATCCTCAAAAAAGTAGCTTTTTATATACAAATCTCTATAGTGACCAGATAATCTGATCTGTGTTGTGCAACATGGAGATGCAATGCTGAGGTTTTCCAGGAGAAGGAGGAAGGGAGTTAAGGTGATTTGTAGAAGAATCTAGATGTCAAAGAATGCTTCTAGTAAGGAAAGTAACTCTCGTGGAGTATTAAACCACCAGAGAGCCAAATTTCTGATCATATATCTCAGAGAATTTGGTCCATGGAGGAGAAACTTCAGAGACGTGCTGGACCAACTTCCTTGGCTAGTGTGTGCCTCTGTCCCCTACCAAAGGCAATAGGCTGTTTCCAGGCAGGCAAAATGGTTGCCATGAGAACCAACAGAAGCCCAAGAGGAGTGAGGCTCTGACTGCATCATCCCCATCTCCACAGGGGATGACAACAAGGGTAACAGTCGGTTGTCAGGTTCCAACACTCCTCAGGGATTGGGGGTGTCTCCAGAGGAACTGAGGACCTGTTGCTACCCATTCTCTAGGTCAAGTGCTGACCCTGCAAAGCAGTGAGCTCTCTTCCAGTAGTAGATTTGATTCTCAGCACAAAGGGGCCCTGCATAACAACCAGAAGGACTTTGTAAAACATCAAAATGCACACTTGGCCTGGAGGTTGGAAGGTCAAGCAAGGCTGGACACAGAAAAAAGTAATCTGTAATTATTCAGGATATCACTTAGAATGAATGAAATAGGAACTCACTTTTCTACAGGTTCTTATATGGGTCGATTAAAAAATCATGTTTTATCTTGTGGCCCTTGCATCAGGTCTTTTGCGCCAATGGAAAAAACCAACAAACATACAAAACCTAATCCTTTTAATCCTAGTTTTACATCTCGCTCCCTAAAATCCAAAGAGCTGAAGTCTTCTCTGGCAATAAAGGTGCTCATAACACAGTAAATACCAATTCTACTCTGTGTATTTAGCAAAGTTTGGCCAAAGAGAAAAAATGCAAGCAATGGGCCATTACGGCAGTGCCAGAAAGGGAAAGAGGTTGTTTAAAAGTGATGGCTGGTGACATGCACCTTGTGGACCATGCATTGTATCCCATCCACCCTGGAAACTCCTCAGGCATTAAAGAGGGTGATGATTGTCACAAAACTCCATTCTTGTAAGCTTTGCTACCTGCAATGGGATGCCCATGATAAAAACAAACCAAGAGGAAAATTTGAAAATGAATTCAATCAAATATTCCTGCACATTCCTTCAGAGAAAGAACTCAGTCTGGCTTGCTTGTGAATGGATGTGCATGTCTGCATACAGGCGGAGGGAAGGTATTTACAGACAGTTGCTGTGATTGTGTAAGTCTTGCACCAAATTTCATAAGAGTGTTCAAGTTTCTTTGCCAAAGGCTCCCAAATTCCCATACTGAGTTGGCAATTAGGACTGTTTGGAGAAAATGGTGTGTTTTGAGTATTCAGAGTGGGCTCTGTTGCTACAGCAGGAATGATGCAAGAGCTTGAGTGAGGCTACAGATTCATCGGGTCCCCTCATGGTGACTCTGGCAGCATTTTTCCCTGAGCTGAATTGCGACTTCTGCTAGGACAGGTAAAGTTTAGGTAAAGGGAACTTTTATAACAGGCTGTTTGTTGGTGTCCCAAAATACCCAACTGCGGTTGTACATGGCCACCTTCCAAGCTTGGTTGTAAAACATCAAATGAATAGAGGCTTGAATCTAATTTCCCCCAAAGGAGATGAGAAAAATCTAAATTGATTATTCATTATTGAGGGCTTCTCCAACTTAAAATATAAGTAAGTAACATTTTATAGTAGTGAGCCTCTTACTAAAGAAGAAAGTAAAACAGAGATCATAATACTTTGGATTCATAAGGCTGGAAGGGGGTTTTAATCATTTAATCCAACCCGTTAACTTTTTATCTGGGAGAAAATGAGGGAGGGTTGGACATACAGTGACTTGTGTAAGTCACATAGCAAAAAATGGGCAGAGTCTAAATCAAATGTTCCCTCTACGAAACCATGTTGTTTCTTATCATTTCTGTCATTGCCTGAGTTAGCTGTGTTAGGCTATGAGATTGGATACTATTCAATTAAGATTCCCTGTTATCCATTCTAAAGCCAACCCTTGCACTAGCTCATGTGATGGCTTACTAAGTTGTCTCTTAGTAAAGCAGCAACAATATGTACAATAAGTGGAAAAGAGGAGGAAGAGTAGAAAATTGGGTTTTCCTTTAGAGAAAATCATAAGCAAATGTTTGATGAGCAGCTTTGAACTCACTTCACCCAAAGAGAATAGTCTGCCCCTAGTGCCACCTGCCTGGCTTGGCACTCAGTGACTCTTCGTCTAGGTTTAGCCCAAAATTACCACAGATACTGAGACTATTAGTCTTCTCTGACAACTATATTTACAAAACTCTCACTTCAGAATTCTTTCAGAGTCTTTGCTTTAACTTAATCCTCTTATGCTCCCAGACTCTAGTATTCTTATTCAAAGAGCAAGTATAATAAAAACTGGAAATTCCATTTGGTCCTTTTTCTTGGCTTGGTAGGAGTTGAGTTGGAGAGCAAGCAAAGCAAACCAGCATCTCAACTTGACGGCCCCCAGAGTCCGACAGCAGCTCAGTGGGAAAAACCACCTCCACTAGGGTGTAACTGCTGTGCACTTTTAGTCATCACACCAGGCAAGAGCTGCTGAGACTTGTTTTTCAGAAGTCAGAACTATGGAGAATCATCTCTGTGCAAGTACATGCCTACATGGATTTACTGCTGTATTCCATGGGAAAACATTGCACAGGTGGCAGAAGCCTTGCTTCTGTCAAATGTGAAAAATTATAACATGGTTTTTGCTATTCAGAGCAAAGGAAAGTGTGGTATTGGCAAAACCATGGCAGGATTGGGGTTTTTTTGGGGGGACTTGGGGGTACCCAGTAAATGAGTTTCCCAACCACTTCACTCCAAAAGGGCTTCTTGACTAGGTACATTTGCAAATGACACATTTCTCCAAGCACAAGTGGAACTGACCTGAGACCGTCTCATCAACTGGCCATTGGGATGCCTGGCATCACCTATAAGGAATCTCCCCGTGAACTGAATTTTCCCTAAGCCCTTCTCAGATTCCACGAGTCTAAATCCAGGAGCAAGGCATTTTGGCACCCTTTCTTTAAGCTTTCATGAATATCCAGGCTGACTAGTGGTTCGAGAGGAGAAATAAATATTTGTCTTTTATGGGGCATGGTAACTTCCACAGGCAAAAGGACCATAGGCTGCATTTCTGCAACTACTAGGAAGTAAAAAATTGAATCTGATAGCTACAAGGTTTAGAACCCAACACCTAATGTCCTATATCAAGGATTTGTGTGATCTAGATGGTTGCCCTGACTCTCTGATGCTCTTTGTATGGGAGGTACACCCTCAAAGATCTAAGGTAAAGTATCACTTTGAGAGATAAGCCACTCTTCTCACTGATGGGATTTGAATCACTGAATTTCAGTAAGTAATTAAATGATGATTCCACTTGGGTTTCCCAAAGGGCAAAAATGAGAAAGAGAAGGATTGAAGTCTACTTAGTTGGCTTTCTCCTGAAATAATTTTGACTCCTAAAAAAAAGTGAACAAGGCTGTAACAAAATGGTGTTGCCAAAGCCCTAAGGTACAGACCTTACAGGATGCAGTGTATGTGTCTAGCCCGCTGTCTCTGTATATAAATATAACATTTACGCATCACCGAATATTAATGGACTGTTACAAGCATTCATATCTGTGTTGGCCCTATTAGGATAAATCTACTGATATTGTTGACAAGTTATACTTATCCTATTTAGATAAAGGTTATTAGAGGTATACTTTGGATCCATTTGTTCAGTTTATGGCACATATGCTGGGCAGGGAAATCCCATTGGGTATGGCATGGGAAGAACAAAAGAGGCCTAAAAAAAAAACAGAGGATGAAGACATGTGTCAACCCTACATAGATCCTGAATTTTCAGGCTAGTCCTGAGTTTGAGAAAGTGTTTATTTTTAATAAGATGTATTGAATCTTCAGATAAATGTGATTTCCTATGTCTATTTTCATGAGGCTTACTGTGTGTACAGTCTCAAACCAGAAAAACCTGCTTTGTTAAGCTGTATATCTTGTTTCCTCTAAACACATTGTCTGCTTATATATTTATAGGCTAACAGGATGGCTAAGTAAAAGCTAAAGATAAAACATACCCGAAAAAGTTTTAGGCAGAGTTTTGACAAAACAATCCTGTGACCACTCCTTTGAGAAACATGTCAGTGTATACAAGTGCCAAGGTGGCCTTCCACAACATAATAAACCTTGCCTCCATCCTTCTATTTACAGTTAAAAAGCTCTTGGGAGCATCACTTAAAGATAATCAGTTTCACAGCAAAATCCAGGAATTGTCCTCTTGGCCCATAATGCCTACCGTGAAGGATGTATTTTCCACTACTACATTTGCGCATGCCCTTGGCCGCCCTGTTAACTGCCCACCAAATGAAAATAAAGACCAATGTCATCTCAAAAACAAAAACAAAAAAGCTGCTTAATACTGTTCAATAGTGATCCTTATCCAAAAATAACCTAGGAGACAAAAACAACTAGAATCTCATGTCTCTTGTACGTCCCAAAGGTATCTGATTTGGAAGAGAGAAGTCGTAAGGAGTAGGTAATAAAGGGTATTGAAAGCCCATAAACACCCTCACCTCAGAGATTTTGGGTTCTATAACCATGACTATCTCAGCATTCTTCTGCTGATCTCAGATGATACACCCCACTCCTACCTGTGGACTTAGGTCTACGTACTCCTTAGAGTCAAAGGTGCTTTAGTTCTCAATGATTCAAGCCCCCAGCTCAGTCCCAAATCCAGCAACCTTACGAAAATACTGTGCATTATTCAATAAACAAGTGATAGTAGAAACATTAAAAAATTTAACTTGCAAAGCCAATCATTAAAGATTCTTTGGCTGCCTACTGCATGCAAGGCATTGTGCTATGCCAATTATATTATTTATTCCTTTAAACGTTCACAGCCATAGACAAGATTCCACCTGTGAAGTTGTTTAGAGCCATCCTTTGTTCCCACACCTTGGTTCCAGGCTACCTAGACTCTGCCATAGGAATGCCACCTTTATAGGATTTTGCACAGATGTTTGTTTCCTGTTCCTTTCCACTGAGAAGACTGAGGAGGAAGACTGGCTCTGCTTCCACCTGTGTCCTGGAACTGGTTTTATGTGCTTTGCTATTACATAACAAAAAGCTTTCTACATATTAGATAAGTATCAGTTTTTCTTGTTTTATCGAGAGATGATATTAAAAGAGGCACAGCCAACACAAGTGTCCTCCATGTGCAAGGGTGCTAAAATGATCAGACCTTCTAGGTTGTTGAGAATATGACTGAAATAGTTTGCAGATTACAAATGTCTTCTTTGTTAGAAATCCAGAAAAGAAGCTTATGGGTGAAACAAGAAAGCAAAAACATAGACCAAATAATTTCACTATGCCAGGTGAATGCAAACCCAACATAAGTGAATTTGAATATTTAAATCTGGTTAAAGTTTATGTTGGCTGTGCTCTCTTACTTTTGTCAATATATACAGTGGTTATATGTAAAATACTTCCTATTCCATTATCAAATTTAGAGACAATTATGAAACATACTTTGAAGTTTCAATCGTTATTCACACAGATACTAGTTAGGGTGGGGCAGAGACACAAGGGGCTCCGTAATCAGCTGCCTTTAAGAGTATGGCTCCCACTAAAACTCTCTTTGAAGCATTTAACCTAAAGAGTACACAGAAGGTAAATGGTTAGAGTTCCCTAAGATAGGAATTGTGCAAACTCTGTAAGACATTTATGGGGAGTTACTTCTAGAGGCTTCTAACAGAATCTCTTGTGCACAACAAGGCGAGACATGGAGAACACTTTAAGGAAGAACACACTGTGTGTTTTGCTCATGATCCCGAAGTCCCTGGAGTGTACCACACTGCTCTAGTCGTGTCCCCTGGGGCAAGAGCATCCACATTTCTGTATCTTGAGAGGAAAGGGAAGCTGGCAGGAACGTGTCTTCAACTCAAACGGATTCCTCCAGCAGCATCCATTCAAACAATAATACAAGTGAGAACATTAGATGATTATGAAGCGTTATTTGGCAAAGACACAGCACCGTGCCTGTCATCACTGACTCACAAGAGCTCCTCTAAGCCTCAGCTAACAGATTAAGTAAACATAGAAATATATGCATTTGTTTCCTTTTTAAAGAAAGCTTGTGTATATCATCTTTTACCATAAGATACGCTGGGGAGCTTATTCAAGAATTTGCTGAGATTCATATTCTTATTTTTCACGTTTCCAAGGTTCTTCCTCAACACTGCAGTCGGCTGACTTTCCATTGGCTGCCAGAGTTACCTGAAAATAATTACCATCAACATCCAGCTTACAGGCCACGGACCAGAAAAAAAGCCCCCTGGGTTATGTGGAGAAGCACCAGATCCAAGGTTATACTACGTGACTGGGATACTAGTTTTAAATGGAGTTCCTTCCAAATTGATTTTGCACTTGTCTTGATTTTCATTGATTTTTGAATTTCAAAAATCAAAAAATTCCATATTTGCTTTACAGGTATTGAGAGAATACAGATGCTTTGCAATTTGGGGAATAATGTTTATATTTTTAGGATTGTGAGGTGTCTAACTACCTGTAGACCCATCACACTTTAACATAGTCCTAAAAATACAGTCCCATGTGCTACTCCATACAACCACAGAGAGAAAAATCCAGAACAAGGCAGCTAGTTCTACTCATGCATGTGAAAGGTTCAGTTGCAATGAGGCCAGGTGGATTTCATAACTGTCTAATTTTTAAAATCAAAAATTATGAGGGCTTGGCTCTACCAAATAAGTTACCCCAGATTTAAAGATTAAAAAGAAAAGGTGGGAGAGTTAAAAGTCTGAAATCAGTGACAATGTATGTCTAAATTATTTCAATGCAGATATTTAACAATTTAATATATATTACCAGACCATCTATAATATGTTTCCCTGGCTCAAAGTGAACTGAACCTTTCCACGGAATGGGAGGTTCTCTCCTCCACTTCTAAGTAGTTCTCCTAGCTTACCTTCTGTCTGTCTGTCCTCAAGGTCATGTGCAAACTTAAACCCACGACTGATATTCCACATAATGGAGAGACTGGATTTATGGAAGCATTAGAATATGGAAACATGACAAACGCAGCAATGTTTGAAAGAAATCTGACCTTCTTCTTACCCAAGTGGAAGTGAACTGCATGCAGCATGAGCACACACAACATGCTAGGAACAGAGAACTAAGTGCCCTTCACAAACCAAGCAAATGAAAACAAAAAATATTCATTCCTCCAATCCCTGTTAGCCCCACAATTTTGTTTTTTTTAGAAAGACCATGCAATTAGCATTAAATGCTCCACATGCAGTTATTGTGATTAATATTAAAAAGCTATTGCATAACTTCAAACTACTAACACCAGGCAAGAGTTTGAAACTAGAGAGACCAGCATAACATAACAGTGCTTGAAGTGGTTAAAGTTTTGACCAGAGCTGCAGCAAATTTGTTTCCCTTTCGGTGAACTGTCGAGAAAGACTGCCAGGGACAGACTGTCTGCCTGGAGAAAGCTGCCTGTTCACTGTGACCTAAAATGTACCTATTTCATCCTTGGTAACGAGCCCGATCAATAGCAGTGCAAAATTATCAATCACAGTGTGGTGCCTTTGGAAGAGCCAGGCAGCACTTGGGGGGAGATGTTTTTGTTTTGTTTTTTGTTTGTAAATACTGGGGCCTATGTTTCAAAAGTAGTTGGGACAGCAGGTTTTTTTTTTTTTTTTTTTTTGGCATTTCCTTTCCTGGCTGGGCTAAAGAAAGCTGAGACTTCACTCTCTAACCCATTCCACCCTTTTCTGCTCCAACCAGCTGGGTAATAGGAAAGAAAGAAGGAGGTGGAATTGGCAATACGCATTGACTTCTCCCATCTCAGTTCTTAAAAAGTGAGCAATAGTGAGACAGAGAATTGACTAGAAGGAAGTCGAAAAGAATGAATGAATACATGTGACCTACATATTCTCAGAAAGACTGTAGATTCATTTCCAGAGCTCTGCCTGCCTTCTTCCCACATCAGTGTCAACACGGTTAACTGATTTAGAGTGAGAAGAGTCAACTTGCTTCACCTAGCCAAGGCTGAGGACCAAATAACCTTCACTTAGCTGAACCCAATCACTTCATTAAAAATGCATACAGTTAAAATAGCCATTAAACCAAAAAGGGCCATTTTAATCATCTTCATGACCTGCTCAGTTTGACCACTGACCATCTAAATGCTAATTAACCAGCAAGTCTGCAGGTGGTTGGTTGGGTAGTCAATTTCACAGAGAGACTGAACCTCCATCTCTTTGGAACTGTCCAGCAAAAAGCTTATCTGAAATACAGCAAGGAATAAAGATGCTTCTGATACCTTGGTGTCCTTCAAGAAAAAAGAAATCCAGGAAGTCTGAAATCTAAAGATATCTCCATGCCCACATATCTTCTTTTTCAAAACATATCCTGTACAATATTAAGGAGCCTCTTGAGGAGCCATCCAGCAATTAACCACTAGAATTCTTCTTACATACAATTGTGACTTTTTTAAAAAAAAAATGGTGATTACATTTCATTTTGTACTCTTTATCCTTGTATGGCAATAATTTGAGTTCAGGTCTTATCTCTGCTATAACATTGTACATTATTTCTGCCATCCTCTGGTGCCTAATTCGGGGTTTTGTAGATAGTAGGCACTCAATAAATACTTGATGAATGATCTGAATATAGGATGTAACAGGAAAGAGATGGGGCACTCAGCTAAACCTTACAAGGCACACAATAAGCACTTGTTAAATATAACAGAGCATATAGCATATAGTTTGCTCATCCAAACCAACATTTTGGTGGGGAATAATCCAGTTCATTCATTCAGATGACACAAAACACTAACTTTCCAGGAGAATGGATTGTGCCCTTAGGTACATCTGAATTACTAATAATTTGAATCATTTTCATTGAGTCAATTAATGTCTGCAATTGCCTCTTGATGGGTCGGTTCCCTCCCTAATTTGTATTAGAGCCCCGATTTACCCACACATGTACCTGATGTAGAGGGGCCAAGCAAAAGACTGCACGGGTCCACTAGAATTCTAGACCTAAGTCACAGTCCAATAAAGAGAACTGCATCTCTGTCGCCATTAGTTGCCTGGCAAAAACTATAGTCTGTATTTGGAATGGCTCAGAAGTGACACAGGAAGAAATTAGCGATGAAATGTGACCTTGTCAGCAGAAGTCAAAATGGTACCAGATATCTGTGTTAGGTTCAGATTGTCCTCAGTGGCTGCATGTTATCATTTCAGCAAACCAATCCCTAGAGTTGACTCTGCTCACCTGCCAGGGTTTCTCCAAGTTTGCTTCACTCTGGTCATGACACTCTGATTTTGACAATGTCACGTTAGTTACAATGAAAGCTAGACAGAGCCCATCAAGCTTGAAGACTTAGCACCCAACAGCTTGGAGGAGAGCCCAGAACATCCGTGCTGCAGGAAAGATGGCGCTGCGGGCAGTGAGAGTGGATGTAGCATTTTTTTAAAAGACATCTCTGGATAATTATTTTGAAGGATGGCTATCCTTTAATTGGAATTGCTTCCCCATTTTTGGAGCAAAGTGACTGTCAGGTCAAAGCTCACCCTTCTTAACAAAAATAATTAAGAGAAAGATAGTTGTGTGAAGTTACATGGGCACATTTTTGACCCATGCATGATATAAAGCAAGGAGGAGCACTTGTGCTACTCCAATCAAACGATGCTAGGGATTTCTCTTGGTGTTTCATTTGTGGAATAGCATATTTGAAAGCCTGAAAAGCTCTAGCAGCGACAAATTCTTGGGCAAAACATTCAAGAAAACTGATCAAATTAGCCAAGTGGGGTGGATGGGGGCAGAAGAATGGTTGTTTTACGTCACATGGATGAAATAAGCAACTGATTGGCTCTTTCACTGTTAGGCCTGTTGACTTCCCGCCATGTTAGACACAGAGTTAGATGATCTGGGACTCATAGAAGCTCGGGTTACATGATTCTTTAGAAAAATAAATGTTACAATAATACATGCAGGGCTTTGTGTTTGTTTTTCAAAGAGATTGAGCATGCACTACTATATACAGGTCTCGATATCCATGAATGGGAAAGGTACCTTGCACTCATCTACTATGACAGAGTTGTGTGCAGCATAGACACACTGATTAGAGTTGCTTTCCCTATGGTTCTTCATGTCATCATAAATGGATTGAGTCTTGGTCATTTCAATATCTTCATGCACTCGGTGCTGGGAGTCAATGGTATCCAGTTCGGACTTGGAAAGGTGGTAGACAATCCCGGCCCCAAAAGAGTCACCCACGACATTGACTGATGTTCTCATCCTGTCCCTGGGGACAAAGCACAGAAAAGGTTTAAGGAGGAAGCAATAGGATCTGGTGGTTGAGAGGTCATGGTCTGGAACAAGAGAGACCTAGGGTTGCGGTCTGGCCCTACCTCTTCCCCCTGCCTGGTCTGGGGCAAGTTACTTAACCTTCGTAAGCCTTGATTTCCAGCGTGGCAATTGGAGATAACACTCATACTTCTCTCATAGGCTTGTGAGAAAATTAAATGAGATAATATATATAAAGTGCTTGGCAAAATGTCTGGTAAATGGTAAACATCCAATAAACAACGGCAAAGAAAAGTAGGAGGAGGCGGAAAGAATCAGAGAGAAATAGTGTGTCCAAATCTCAGAATTAGTACCCCCACTCCAGACACACCTAGCTGTGTCCAGCAATTCCTCCTGATTTATACTGTTCTTTGAAGAACCTGCACTGTCTCAACTTATGTTATTTATTAGTTCTACTGGAAAGACTAACCACCTGTAAACTCTTCCATAATAGAAAAGTCATCTTTTTATAAGCATGGAAACTAACCCCGCCCTTCCCCTGCACCCCCCACCAACAAGACACAGCTGTTGGATAAGAAACCCAGACACAATTTTCTCATTGAACAATATGTGTTATGACTATGTGTCTGGATAAAACCAAAATAATTTTATCTTGCTGTCTCTATTAACCTAAAAAAAAAAAAAAAATGAAATCTTCCAGGGTATTTCTGAAACCAGGAAGTATTGAGAAAATCCTTCCTCAAATCCTGTGTTGCCAGTTCTGACTTGAAAATATTATGGTTAGTAACTCTCCCTCTTAGAAGGTCAGTGCCAGGAAAACTAATTAAATTTCTAAGAGTAAGTTGTGTCTTCTCATCCATAAGTTCAGGCCAAATCAGTTTGAAGAATCCTTTTGGCCATGTTTAATAGATATGCAAAGTCCTAAAGAGAAGGGTGCTGGAAAATCACATAAAAAAAAAAAAAAAAAAAAAAAAAAAAAAGAAAGAAAGAAAATATAAAAGGAAGGAGTTTGGGTAAAGATGCTGCCAAGACATTCTTAGTCCATGACATTCTAGCCTTCCATTCAAATAATATTAGTTCCAGGCACACGGGAAACCTTAATTTGTTCTTGGAACAAAGGTCTAAAATAAATTCTAGTTGCTACTATTGAATCTATTTCTTACTAGAGAATAATAATAATGAAACCGCACTAGGGAGAGTCTGGCCTGGCTCCCTTGCAAGGCTAGCTGTCTGCAAGGTGTAGGCCAGTAGTCTTTCTGATTTCAACCAGGAAGACGCTTTCCATGGGAGGAAAAACTGATCAGAGCTGAATGTCACTCTCAGGGGCATCTCTGAGAATGCTCTTGCCCCTCTTCTGATTTGTAGAGTCTGCCTCAGGGTGATCCAATCTATATGTGAATGAAGACTGGGTCTTGAGGTCATCCTCAAAATCAGGCACTTAGAGTAGATTGCAAAGAAGGCCCAGTAAAAGGGCACAAGAAGGAATGCATGATAGCAGTTTTTATAAAGCATGGACTCTAGAGGCAGCTCCATGTGGTTCAGATGCTAGATATGCCCCCTCACCTGTTGGACAATCCTGATCATACAGCACATTTGTGAGCCTTAGTTATCTCATCTGTAAAATAGAAATAATAAAAATGTCCCATGCATAGGGCTGTGGTGAAGATTAAAAAACACAACAAAGTGCTTAGCACAGTTCCAGATATTTAGTAAGAACTCAAAAAACATTATTTATTGTATGATGTGTACTTTTAATATTACTATACATTTTTATCAACTCAATTCAAATATATTTGTGGCAGCTCCTAGGCAGAACACCCAAATATGCCTGGTCACGCTACTATCTCCCCCTGAAAATATTAACCCTATTTATAGAACAACAATCCCCACGGTAACCCTCTCAACTAACTAGATGTGTTATTTGTCTAACACATAGTTGTGGTCTACTTTGGAGCTATTCGACTATACTTTCAATCCCTCCTGGCATGTGTCCTGAGTCATGTATCCAATACCTTTGACCAATTGTTAAATTCCATGGAATGCTAAAGTCTTCAAGAGCAATGCTCTGAGTATCCGTAGATCTCATGGCCCAGAAAAAATCTGCCTAACTGGTAAAGGGAGAGACCAAAGGTAAGGTGGTGGCCGTGGTGGCAATAGTGATGATGACAGCTAATACTTATATCACACCTACTATGTATAGGAATATACTTTATAGATGCTACCTTACTTAATCCTCATCACAACTCTGTAAGAGGTACTATGATTCACATTTACTCCATGACAAAACTGAGACCTGGAGAGATTAGTGGCTCCCCAAAGTCCCACATCCTAGCAAAATCATGGAGTGAATTCCAACATCCACTGTCTGCCACATGTTGCAAAGCACCCTGGAACCAGACAACCCGAATTTTGGATCTAGCTCAGCCACTTTCTGTGTGACAGTGATGACTTGCTGCTGTGGTCTGAATATTTGTGTCCCCCAAAATTCATATATTGAAACCTAATCCCCAAGGTGGTGGTATTTGTAGGTGGAACCATTGGGAGGTGATTTGGTCATGGAGGCGGAGCCCTCATGAATGAGATTAGCACCCTTATAAAAGAGGCCAATAGAGATCCCTTGCTTCTTCCATCATATGAGGTTAGGGTGAGAAGACAGCTGTTTATAAGGATGCAGGTCCTCAACACAGAATCTGCTAGTTCCTTGATCTTGGACTTCCCATCCTCCAGAACTATAAGATATAAATTTCTGTTGCTTATAAGCCACTCAGTCTATAGTATTTTGTTATAGCAGTCTGAATGGACTAAGACACTTGCTCAGACAGAATTTTTCTCAAGTAGCCAAAATATCTACATTATAGAATTTGGGGAAGATAAAAATCATTTCCTGACCAACAGTTAATACTCATTATGTACTAGCTCCTTCCCATTTTAAGGATAACCCCTAGCCCCACTCATACCCCATCATGTGGACAAAAGCACAAAATACCATGCTCAAGGGTTAATGACTTTTCCAGTTTAACAAAGTCATCTCCACTCAAATGGGTGATATAAATTCACAAACTCCTGTTTCTTCAACCTTTGACTTTCTTTGACACCAAATCCTTACTCTCCTGAAGCAGCCACTAAACCAAGTTTTTGGAATAGTATTTCTGGGTGAGCTTTCCCCACATTTGTTCATTGCCATATCTCTTCCATGCCATTAGATCTCCTTAAATTTGAATAGGAACTTGGCCAATGGAAACAGTCATTAGGACAGGAATGGATGGAAGACAGACTTGTGTAGAATCAAAACAGACTGATGTTTGATGCCAAAATCAATATTGAAAGTGTCCTGGACCTAGGGCTAGAACCCTTTAAGCCAAGGCTTCTTTCTCTCACCTGAGCAAATCACTTCTTACCTGGGCATGAAATAGGGAATAAGGCTAATCCTAACCTCACAGGAGGTTGTGAGAGTTAAATGAAAGGAGAGCGACACTCAAGATGCCAGAAATACTCATTACAAGTTGCAGGAGCAAATGAGCATGAATATTCTTTTCTTACACCTATTAATAGCTAATTAGAAAGAAAAGGACATCAACTCTTACACTTTCTGAGTTATTTGTTGTGAATTTGTTCATTCAACAAATGTTCAATGAGCATCTTATAGTGTGCGCGGGACACTATGCTAAGTACCCAAGCATCTAATAAGACAAGACGCTTCTCACACTCCCTTTTCCCCAAGAACCCACACTCTCATTGTCTATCTCCCCTGCTAGAGTGAGATAAATGTTCAAATAGAAGTAAATACTGTGTGCTATAAGATTATGTCAATGGAACACTTTATCACACTTGGGTCACAGAAAAACTTTCAAGTAGAAGTGTCTTGAGTTGGGCCCTAAGCATGAGTATAGGAAAATGAGACAGAGAGAGGAGAGAAACAGTATGCATGAAATCTAAGGGGTAGGAGCACTTAGAAGAATTCAGGATGGCTACTAAGCATAGCGAGAGAGGCAGAAAGCAAGAATTGACTAAATCATCTATGGCCTTATCAACTAAGCTTGAGTTAGAGCTTTATCCCAAGAGTAAAAAGGAGCCATTGAAAGGAAAGATCACACTTGTTTCACTATGAAAAATGGGCTGGAAAAGGATAAGACCGAGAGATTGAAATCCAGTTAGTGAGGGTATGGAGGGTATAGAGAAAGATGGACTTCAGTGAGACTTAGGAGACAGAATTACAGGACTTAAAGACTGGTTGGTTACAGGGAAAAAAAGAGAAAAGAGCCCAGGATCCCTCCCAGGGCACAGTGCTGCCTTATGTGTGTGTGTTGGGGGGGCTGATGAGTTGGGGCAGGAAAGATTCTGGCTTCATTCTGAACATGTTGATTGTGAGGCATGTGACTCAGTCCAGCGGAGATGCCCCACAGGTGGCTGTGGATAGGGACTGGGGGTCAGAAGACCCATTAGAGGTGCAGGTGATAAATCAGGAATCATAACATGGCAATGGCAGGGGGGCCACAGGGGTGTTTGGTTTATCCTTGGAGAGAATGCAGAGTGAGAAGAGCAGACGATCTAGGTTGGAACACTGGGGTCAACCAACATTAAGGAATGGGCAAAGGAATAAGAGCCTGCAAAAGTGAACAGAAATTAGAAGATTTGGGCATATCATAAGTAAAGGGAAGTATGTTTTTACAACAAAGGTGTGGTGAACAATGCTAGCTCTCGCCTGGGGATCAGCTAAGATAAGGAAAAGAAGTATCTCTTGGTTTTAGCAATAAAGAGGCCACTGTTGGCCTGGCATGGGCAATTTCAGTACAGAGGTAGGGATGGAAGGCAGTTCACTATAGGTAAAAAATTGAATGTGAGGTGAAGAAATGGATATTATGAATAATCAACTTATTTATGACGATCAAGATGAAGAAAGAAAATGGTAGATGGAGACAAGAGGTAGAAGAATTTTTGTTTTGTTTCATTTTATTTCAAGAGGTAGAATATTTGCACATGTTTAAGTCAGAATGAGAA